CGCCAGTGCAGCACCCAGTAAAGCAGCTACGATAGGTACCACAGCTGTGCAGACCCCAGGACGTTTAGGCTGCTGATCCCAAATAAGCTGCCAAAAAGGTAAGGAAGCCACACTTCCCTCTGCAACAGCCCTCCAGGTCTCATCTTACAAGATGCACTCTCCCCACACCCATCCAGAAGGTTAGCTATAACGAGGGATAAAACAATCTATCTGGGGAAAACTCCAACAAAAACAAGCAGAGCAGCCTTTATATCCAGCAGCACAGGCACTAAAAGCACAACCAGCTCCGTGCCCTGTTCCCTGCACAGACCCCCCTCGTGAGGGCAGCCAGAACCATGGCCCTTTCCAGACCCAGCACCCCATTGGATGGGTCCCAGGCCCTGCAGACATGTCCTACTCCAGGACCACCATCTCACAAACCCCACAACCTTCAGCAAGAATCACAGAACCACTGGGGGAGGTTCACAAGTGCAGGAAACACAAATGTCACAGGTGCTGGACCTGAGCCGTACAGCTCCTTGCCAAGGAACAAGCACGACTGCAGGTCTTGCTGTCTTCAGGGGTGAAGAGAAAAACACATTTCTGTAAGGCTGCTTCTCTCTTGCAAACTTTTCATACAGACACACTGCTCTTATCCTTGCTCCATGCCACCCCACTCATGATTGCTCTACAGCAGCCAAGCACACACTTCTGCTCTTACATGATCTGCTTTGCTCCTGCTCATGCCACCACTGTGCCTCTCTACTTAGGAAAAGCTGTCATATGCCCTCTGCCACCACCACCTCACACCACTTACCCTGGGTGAAGAGAGTCTCTGCCCAGCTGCTAACATCTCCAGAAGTGACCTTTTCCAAGGAAAACCTCACATAGAGCTCACAGCCACTGTTAGGGCAGAGTTTAAGTTATCTAATGACCTTAACAGGACTAATTGGATGCCAATGTACAACACCTGATTGCGACATTGGACACAGACAGTGAAATACACTCTTTGACAGCTCCAAGCTCTGTTCCTAGCAGACCCCACCTGAAATTAATCCCCTAAGGTCTCTCTCAGTGCATCTGGAAGAGACTCTTTGCTAACACCCTCAGCAGGGTGGGACCATGTAGGGTCAACGAGGAGCATTATGTACTCTGTGGGGAGGGTCTCCTCCCTTAACCACTGCTTTTAGAGGCCGTGTTGCACGATGTGCCAGGGTGGGAGACTCTCACCACACACCCTGCAGTCTCCTCACTGGCGTTTCAGTGTGGAGGTGGTGTGGCAGGACAGGGTGGAGAGCTGTCATCACCAGTCTCTTGATGTGGTCAAGTAATTTGCATTGTAGCCTCAGGCAGAAGTAGTGCAGAAAGAGATGCTTTCCCACTCTGTAGAATGAGAAGTGGGGCACTATTTTGTTTCTTCAGGACAGGAACTCCTGAAAGCAAATTTATGGTTTGTCCTTGTACCTTGGAAACCTCAGTTACACTTAATGCTTCATGTGAATACAGGAGGAGACAGTTTTTCACATATGTCTATTGACCTGAGCGATTTCCTCTTCCATTGAGCTTAACAGGCTCCAGTTAATAACAGTGCAGGAACCTGCAGATAACCAATCTCTTAAAGTACAAAAGCAATACATGAACCCAGCACAAACCAGCACCACAGATGGGGGATTTCAGATTTAATCCATCAAAGCTCTGTCTGCTGCTGCCCCACTCCCCACAAGCTCACTCCCTAAAACCCGTATGCATGTTGTGTCTCCGCTACCCTCACACGCTGCCAGCCCAACGCTGTGTGTTCACCCCTCAGCTCCAGGGCTCCAAAATCACCTTTCTGTCACTGGGACATTTCTCCTGAAGGCTACAAAGGAGGAAAGCCTGCTGTGACGACTGCAACTTTTACTCCTGTTGATACGAGCCATAAAAGAATCAGCGCTTCCTCCATCTAACTTGATCAGGAAGGAGCAGAGAAG